AGGCAGCTGAAATTTTGGTATAGTGTTCCCCGTCAACGGGTGATGCGGCAAATTTAAATTCAGCCTTTCTCGTACCCGCGGCTAGCTCGTTCGGCCCCGTGAAGGTTTTTTACTGGTAAATCAATATCTCGCGAATCACAGAGTCCAGGAAGTTGAAATTTTAGGGTAATGACCCCTTGCCCACGCCCAACCTTGCCCATTCAAATTCAGCGTTCCCGCGCTCTTGAGTATTACCTACGGCCTCGTGAAAATTTTGGCGGGTGAACTATTAACTCGGGATAAAGATTCACCCTTCAAGTTTTCGAATTCAGCTTTCATGCGCTGGTGCGCGAAATTTTTAACTATTTCCCAATTTTTGAACTATTTTTGCATATAAAAAAGTACAAAGCAGTGAAAATCATTAATAGGCAATCGTTCGATAGGCTGAATTGCACAAAATGCATGATCGCAACGGCTAGTCTGGTGCGCGTTGCTATTTATTTTTATTCTGGTTAACCCCTGGACCTAGGACTGGACCTAATTTGAAAATAAAAGCCTCAAAAGCCCTCTAAGGGAATGGAAAGAGGTAGTTACCAGAGCCAAGAACAACAGCCCATTCAGGGCGGGGTATCAACAGACAAGGGTCGCGCCAACCCTACATGCAATAGGAATAACCAGAGGTAGGACGGTGGCCGTCCAGAATCCAATGAGCTAGTGAAGGAAGGAAAGTAAAAAAGGTGAAGACTGTTATGACGCATATTTACTAAAACAAAGTAGCATGTAAAAAAGTCATGTAAAGAGCTGTATATAAAAAAAAGCTTGCCTTATGTTTCATCCCTAAGCTGTAAACAAACCCTGACCCTTCCTCTTCCCCGCTCACCCATCGTTGTTTTTCGAAGCTAAGGTGTAGGATTAGTTGAGGTATGCTAAGGCTAATATGTCTTTACTTGTAAATCGTGTAGTTTTCTTATTTTTCATTTTTATGAGGATTTTTTTTTTTTTTTGATGAAAATTCTCTTATTTTTCGTGAAAAGTAATTTTAGGCACCCAGAGGTTTTTCCGTTTGGATGCTTTGCAAGAAGGGTGGTGGTGATTCGTTGACACAGGCAGCCCCTTCTTTTACATACTACTCTTCACATGATCCTTCTACATGACAAACGGTTTACATACATTTCCCACTTAACAATGTTCTCTAGCCTTCAACCCTTTCGAGTTATTGGTCTTGCTGCCGCCGGTCGGGCCGTTCTTTTTAATTTCTGTTTCCTAACCTCACCCCATTACTCCGTCCTTAGCTCTTCATTCATATAATGCTGGTAGCGCTTCCACGACCCGTACTGTCTTTTACCTGAGAGGTTTGTTTTTATCTGAGATAAGTTAGTCGAAATTGTTGCGTGACCAGTGGTTTAAACTTTGGACACTCTGTCCCGTTAAAGTTGTAGAGTCTTAATCTTTGACCCTTGGAGGTATAAAAGCACTCCTCCTCGTCCCCCGGATCGCAGAGCCATTTCCAGCTACTTAAGAAAGCTACGCGTGTGCTCGAGAGCACAGGCATTCTCTTTTTCTGGTGAGGGATAATTTTGAGGCGTTTCGGCTCATGCATTTGGACAGGGGTAAAATTGAGACGGCAGAAAAATGCAGTAAAGGAAAAGAAAAAGCTAGTAAGAATTATCACTTTAAGCGGAGAAAGGCAGGAGGAGATGAGGCAAAATCGCTGAATATTCTGACCGATGCAGTGGTTTAGCCATTTCGGATTTGTTTGGTTGCGATACCCGAGACTTGGACCACAAATATACAGGGACAGGTGGTCGAAGAAGAAATAACCCTCCCCCCCCCAAAAAAAAAAAAAAAAAAAAAAAAAAAAAA